CATTTTCTAATTGTAAAAATACAGTGGCTCCTATTACATGAGTGTACCTTGACACATGAACTTTCATTTCCCTTAGACACGGCTTCGATATCTAGTTATTTCCTCTACACTGTACAATCCTATCAGGCTTCCATCCGTTCATTTTCAATAATCTCGAAATTTGTTCACTAGTCCTCTCTTTACCGTTCATCCGTTATTTGCTCGATTATCATTAAGTGGATTATTCGAAGTAGCATTTTTTGTTAATCTCGATCCATCGTGGACTGTTTTTAAAATTTTTGATAGCATTGATGTCATTCCAACAATGAAATATTCGACGAAGGAAATATATATCTGCATTTGGTGGGTGTGTTTTCGAAAAAATTGTCTGGACGCATCATTATCACCACGGGAAATCAAGGAGACCAACTCTTGTGAGAATAAGGTACATAAGTCAATAACAGACGAAACAGGATGGTCGCAAATACATACCGGGAAGAAGTCAATCCTATTCAACACTTCCTTGTGATTTTCTTTCTATACCTTGGAATCCATTGTTTCATTAGTTCACGGATGGTCGAAATAATTCTAAACGTTCATTACTTAATCATATACATATTTGTGATCAATCGTAGTCTGAAATCAGGGAATCTCTGTTAGAAAATGAAGGCATTCGGTCAACTACCAAAAATCTCATCCTTACCTATTCTACTAACAGCATTCGCTTTAGCCATGAATAGACTGAAGTTATCTTGCTTCGCATGATTCTCCGGTAATGAACCAATCGTAAAGTTTTATATCATTATGCACCCTCGCAAATGGTAAAAGGTGAGCCTCTTCATCATGAATAAATGGTACTTGGAATTTGGATGAACTTTTTCGCAAACTGAGGACAATCGATTGTTGGCATACACTCCATCTCCAAGATGACGAAAGATTCCACTGGTTGATGTTGCGCAGAGAAGCCAGACTATAAATTTCATATGATAAATTTTTTTAGGATCAATGACCACTATCTCAACCATTAATAAACTTACCTAATTTCTCCTCATTTGCACGAGTCTCTTTTGCAAGCTGGTTGACGCTTACTTGACCACCATGCGATTAGATTAGATCAGCTACTTCAACTTTCACCAAATCGTTAATAGCAGCCACGTCTAAGATATCTAATAATTGATTTATCATAACATGACCGGGTAGAAATAGCAGACTTTGAATTACTCTATTTAAAATTATTTCATTAAAAAGAATTATTTCAAAGAAATATCATTAAATTAAGAATCCCCTTACCATATTTTTTTTGATCCCCGAGTAATATGTTACTCACACTTTAACCAATCAGAATCATTTTGAGCTATGTAAGAACAACCATGCCAAAACGACCAACAAGAACAATATCAGAATAAAAATCATTTTCTTATTTACCATACTTACCTTTCAATCAATAGTTGGGCTTTTACAAGATAACACGTATATTGAGCTGGGCACAAAATTAACTTTGAAAAGCGTGTTCAAGCCACAACTTCTTTGATATAGAATGGAATGGCAATATGCCGCAATGTTATCAAATGGCATGATCTGCATGTGTTTTTTTTATGGTGCGTAGAAGGTTAGAATTAATTTCAATCTTGAATGCATGATCTCAAATTAAAAAAATGGCGTTATTACTTTATTAA